GCAGGATGCAATCTGAGCCGCACGATGCATCAGATCCAACGGCTAGATTTTATTCTCATTTCTCTCCACAAGGTGCATTCTCACAGGAACCGGCCCCTATATATATATATATATATATATATATATATATATATATATATATATATATATATATATATATATATATATATATATATATATATATATATATATATATATATATATATATATATATATATATATATATATATATATATATATATATATATATATATATTGGTTCTGGTGAGAATGTAATCTTAGGAGAGAAATGAGAATGAATCTGGTGCTTTAGATATTGAGATCTAAGGGTCAAGATTTCATCAAAATTAGATGCACAAAAATGGTGCGAAAATGCATAACGTCGAAATGCACCATAAACCTTCGAAAATGCACTATCTCAAAATCTGAGCGCAGGATGCAATCCGAGCCGCACGATGCATCAGATCCGACGGTTAGATTTTATTCTCATTTCTCTCCACAAGGTGCATTCTCACGGGAACCAGCCCCTATATATATATATATATATATATATATATATATATATATATATATATATATATATATATATATATATATATATATATGTATGTATCTATATATATATATATATATATATATATATATATATATATATGTATGTATATATATATGTGTGTGTGTATATATATATATCTGTGTGTGTGTGTGTGTGTCTATATATATATATATATATATATATATATATATATATATATATATATATATATAAATAGTGGTTCCCCCCTGTAGAGATGGTCACAGGGTTGATTGGCGAACCACACCACCCGGGTTCGATCTTTAGAAGGGGCAACTTTGGTGGAATTTTAAATAAAATTTTAAATTTTATTTTTTTTGTTTTGGTTTTAACTTTTATTTTTATTTTTTTACATATATTATAGTATATCTTTCAAGAAAAATGATTTAAAAAAATTAATTTTCCTAACAGCCATGTCTAAAATCTACTCCCCTTGGCCTTTTAAATTTTGGCTTTTCGCATCAGAATGCCAAGTGAAAAACTCATTAGCCAAACAATGGTTTTGGATGTTCGCTTAGTAAAAAAAGCCAATGTCAGTCAAAGATCTCAAAAGCTATCCAGAAAGCTGTTTTCCAAACACGGTCATTGTCTTTTCAAAGTAGCTTTTTAGTATTATATACTTCGTATGTATTATAGATTCTACTTTGGAATAAAAACATGAAGTGGAAGTTAGGATTGACTCTCACCTATTGCCTAAGGTCGACAAGTTTCGATATCTTAGCTCGGTAATTCAGGCTGATGGGGAGTTGGACGGGGATATTGGACATCGTGTTGGAGTGGCTTGGGCCAAATGGCGATTGGCTTCAGGGGTGTTGTGTGATCCAAAGATTTTGCCCAAGATGAAAGGTAAGTTCTCTCGGTCTGTAGTCAGACCTGCTATGTTATATGGGGCAGAGTGTTGGGCGGTTAAGAAGACTCATGTGCGTCATCTGCATGCAGCGAAGATGCAGATGTTACGATGGATGTGTGGGAAGACAAGGTTGGATAGGTTATCGAACGAAGTTATCTGACGTCAGGTAGGCATGGCGACGGTGGAAGATAAGCTGCGGGAAGCTAGGTTGAGATGGTTTGGTCATGTGAGACGACAGAATGCTAACGCCCGTGTACGGAGATGTGAGAGGATTATGGTTGTCGGGGGAAGTAGGGGAAGGGGTAGACCTAGGAAGAATTGGAAGGAGGTGATTAGGCAGGATTTAGGACTTCTCACCCTGACTGAGGATATGGCTTTAGATAGGAACCTTTGGAGAATTAGGATTAGAGTAGCTGGATAAGGGCCCGGTGCCTCAGAGGTTTTTTGTAGTGTGCTTTGTTTGGTTGGAATCTTTTGCTATTGCTTGCAGGACTTTCATTCCATTGTACTTGGTGTTTTATCTGTATTTTATTGTGCCCTATCATATTTTTTGTGCAGGTGGAGCGAGGGGTCTCTTGGAAACAGCCTCCTTACTACCGAGTAGGGGCAAGGTCTGCGTACACACACCCTCCCCAGACCCTAATGTAGTGGGATTCAACTGGGTTGTTGTTGTTGATATCGCTATGTTTTATGTGAAATTTAACCCAAACAACACCTAAACATTTGTGATTTACCTTAATAGCACCATTGTTATTTTTTTCTTTTATAAGCACTGTTTTTCATCTGTACTGCTCCCTCTACCCTTCGACACTGCCATTAAGGCACGCCGCATCCCTTTTTAGTCGTCTTTTTAATTTCAGGTGTTTTTGGAAATAAATCAGTAATATCTCTAAGTTTCCGGAATACACTGATTGCGTCTCCATTCGTCACGATTCTCTATTTTTTTCTTCGATTAGGCACGATTCTCTATTCCGCTACATTTTTCGTCAATTATACGGTCGCCGCTCGCCATATTCATCACGATATTCAGTCTTTCAAAGTGTGATTCATTCTTATTCCTTTTTGTATCCATTTCTGGCTGAATTGATTATCGAATGGATTATCATGCTTTCTTCATTGCTGAATTCTTCACCCATGATGGTGTATCTAGTGCCACACGAGATTCATGTATTGATGCGCGTCGACGGTGAATGGACAGGTGATGCCACATTCAATTGTAGAAGTTTTCATGAACTGATATTCAGACCAATTCAAGGTTGATTTAGAAGTAGTAACTAGTTTTGATCCAACTAAAATTTAGTTGGATGCAATTTATGAGAAGGACTTAATCTACCATTTCTAAATGTTTGCAATCTCTAACTTGTTCCAATTCCAGACTAAAAGGTCTACAAAGAAGCTTCTCCATGTGGTTTGTGTGAAATATGAGCGTTGTTTTTGGGCTGTTTTCTTATCACGCGTTGATATGTTCCAAATCCAATGTTATGTGTCATTCTTAAAATATTGCTCGGCTCCAAATTTCATACATGATGCTTACAATACATTCCTTTGTTTTTTGTTTCAATGGGAATGCATCTACGAAATGGATAATTTGTCTACTCTTTTCTATCTGTAGTTTTATCGTTAGCTGTCTTATCTTCTTTTATGTGCGATGTATGCTGCAATACACTTTCCATTTTTTGTGTGTGCTCCAACCATCTCGTCCACACCATTTTTTCGTGTCGTTGTTTATTACAATTCCAGCAGCTCTTGTTGTGGTACTCGTGGACATCCCTGTCTTCGAATTGGATATCTGCAATGTATTCCCTTTCCGTATCAAAAGTAGGGTTTTACAAGAATTCCAAATCGCCATCCTATTCCAGCATTAAATCAGGGCTCCAATGTCCTACTATGACTAGTACACATTTATGGAAAAGGAATTCTAAGCCTGGATTTTTGCGATTTTCCATGCCATTAGGTAGGAATACCGGTGCACTCTCGTAGACGACAATACTAGCCCCCCCCGTCCAATAAATTTTTTCTCACTTTCCTTTTTAGGTTGTCCAAAAATATCTTTCTCGTTTCCTATTTGGCAAAAAAAACTTTTAATGAATGTGCCATTATACCCCTACTTTTTTATCTATACTATTTTCTTTATTCCATTACATCAAGGGCAGGGCATAGAAGGTCTTTACATTTTTTAACTTTTTCTTAATCTCCGCACCAAGTCAAAGCAGGAAAGAAATTTTTGGACATATAGAGTATTAATCTGAGGTCATTGTAGTAATTTCAGTCCTCCATCGTAATTAAAAAGATATTATATGTTGACGAATACTGCTGCTATTTTAAGAATTGGGCATATATTGTTTTAGTTCTATATTGGTAAGTTTCTGTATGTTTTTTTTAGGACTTTTAGGTCATGTTTTCCCCATCTTATTTTTTTACTTATTACTTATCCTTATTATAATCAGATTAGATCTGAACAGATCAGATCAAATCAAAAATAGCTTTAAGTATAATTACATTCAAATCAGATCAGATCAGATCAGAATTTATTCCAATCAGATTAAAATCAATCAAATCAGGTAAGGAGAACATAACCTTGGTATTGTTGTATGTCCTTTTTAATACGGAGTAATTAATGATATTATAATTACAATTAATGAGCTCATATGTATGTGGTACTCGTATATATAAATAGGAGAGAATAGAAAGCTTAATCACCATCAATTCAATACATTTTGTGCATTATTATCCGACCCACACATACATATAACATATATAGAAAGCTGATTAAGGTCGTAGTGAATACATAAATTCAAATATGATGCAGGATTTGGGTGCGGTGCTGATATCGGCGACATTGTTCGTGTTCTTTTCACCGGGACTGCTTTTCCAGGTTCCTGGGAGATGCCGGCCGGTCGACTTCGGAAACTTTTGTACCAGCGCCCTCTCCATTGCAGTACACTCTGTCCTCTTCGCCATCTTCGAGTTCATTACCCTCTATGTCCTCCGCCTTCATTTCGACCCCATTAAATAAATAAATATATAAATATATGTATATATATGTGTGTGTGTGTGTATATATAAATAAATAAATAAATAATCGATGGTTGTTGATTAATTTGGTTGAAATGATGTAATTTCTTTAACAAAACAACAACGTTAGATGCTTTAATTTGTAGTAGGGTGAAAAGGCTATATATAATGTGTTGTGCAGGCCGGGATCCGTCTTGGGATTGTGGATGAATGTTTAGTTTGTGTGTAAAAGTTTACATCTTCTCAATTCTCATCTCTATAATTGTATTGTATAGTATGGAGTAGGTGTTTTATCTACCCGTTAAAACTTAAAAACCTTTCTAAAACACTTTCTCCTTATTTTCTTTTAGTTAACTTAAACTCGTTCGGGTCAAAGATATTTTGTTGTGTTAGACAATCTCCAACTATTCAGACTAAGATCTTGTTTGGGAACAACGTCTTCGATTAACGTTAGCATTTTAAATAAAATTTCAATGGTGTAGATTATTCCTAAAAACGCTGACGCTAAAGAATACCGTCGGATAACCTTTTCAAACCGCTAACGTTAATCACTAACACTAATGCCAAAGAGAGCCTAAATTTAAAATCAAAATACAATAAATGTGAAATTTATAGTAATCCATCTCCAATCTATTATACTCCCTCCCTTTCTTAAAATATTTACTCTTTCATTTTTTTTTTGTTTTTCCCAAAAGACTTCCACTTTCCATTAAAAAACTATTTTTACCCCTATTTTTTCTTATCATACCTATCACATCATGTTTTTTTACTAATAATTTATCCACCACGTCTTACTTTTACCTATCGCATCAAGGCCAAAATTAGAAAGTCAACCACAAATATACACTCCTTATTTCTTCTAAAAGTCAAAATAGGAACCGTTTTATGAAACAGAAGAAGTACATCTTTTCATCTTTATAATTGTATTGTATAGAGTAGGTGTTTTATCTACCCTGCAAAAACCTTTCTAAAACAACTTCTCCTTTAACTTCTTGATGAAAAAACTGATGAGAATAGTTTAAACTATGTATGGTCTCCTTAAAATAATCTTAAATACTCCGTATAAGTTATTCTAAAATTAGGGGAGTGCACGGCCCGTGACAGTCTGTGATACTACCAAAATCTATCATGAAGCGCTCTTATTCAAGTGATTTGATATTAGTATAGGATGAACTCCAAAATCATTCCATTTTGAAACGAAACGGTACAATACCATATTCATGTTCACACTGTGCCAAAAAATTAAACATGCACTACATACACAATATTAAAACAAAAGCATAAATGTCATAACATGACATATCCTTTGACAGCCCTTGGATTAAAAGAAAATCTAAAGGAATGGTTGAGATGCAACCCTTCAATTTTTAGATCTTTTATTCTTGCAACCCTCTCCCTTAAAGGCACTATCCATCTTTAACGCAGCCCTCTCTCTGCTCTCATCCACGGTGACGACGAGGTAAGTTTCCCACTACGATTTTGCTGCTCTAGTAGTTGCTTCTCTAAGGAATTTCTGAGTTTTTGAAACCCTCGTTCTCTCTTGTTCTCTCTGGTTTTACTTCTTGATATTCTTGATATGCTTAGATTTTGATTCTATGAAAACACTCGTTGTAATTCATTCTCTCTGATTTTAGTACTTAGTTTGTTCGGATGTGAGTTGTGTGAAACTACTTGTTCTCTGTCGTTATCTCTATTTTTTTAGTTTGCATCAATGTTAAGTCTATGAATATTTGTTGGATTTTGGGAATTTGTGTTTGATTTTGGATAATTGTTTGAAGCAATCTCAAATGTTCCATATTGTGTAATTCTGTGAACCAATCTCAGTTGTTTGATTTAATACGTGTTCAATTTTTACTACATTTCTTTGTTTTCATTTGCATTCTTTAATTTATCTTGCATTTTGATGTACACTATGAAGCATTTTTAGGCACACTTAAGTCGCGCCAAGAAAAAGAGCATTGAAGTTACTTTTGAAGCATAGATGCCAACGCCTGTGAACGAGAGGTACATGCAAAAAACATTGTATTGGGGTCAAGAATCAGAAAATACAAGAAGCGAGAAGTGTTTTAGCATTTTTGTATTGTGTTGTTAGTAGCAAATTGTTGTACCAGAATCTTGTTAATTGAAAGTTCAAGGTAATGATTCTAATGAACTAGATATTACCATGGATGTAGTATGCACGTTGGATGTAGTATGAAGTCATGTACTTCGTACTTTATTGTATCCTTAATTCTTCCCTTAGAACTTGATCATCTAGTTACTCCAATTTGATGATAAAATGTATCCAGAGGTTTTAAACCAAGTGACCAAGTGTTTTCTTAAATTACACCAAATCTCAAATTTAAATCAAGTCAATATATATTTAAAATCTTCTCTGACATCAAGTCTGAAATGCAAAAACCTTATAAAAGAATAATACATTCAAATCGTCAAAGTACATGAACGGGGCAACAAATCATGAAAACTCCATCTAATTCTAGCCTCTAAAATCCCAACAACTACGTGCAAGGTTGTGACACTTTTCTTGTTTCCCCTATTCAAGTTGAAACGGTAGCCTCAACATTCGTTTTCTACCAATAGTGTAAAATAGTAAACGTAAGTAAGTACTTCGATTTCCATCCCGCTGCTTGACATACCCACCTACGATATCCATCGCCTACACTACTCCGCCTTCTCGTATAAAACCCATTAGATGAACTATAAGCTTTGTAAAAATCCTCAAATTCGTCAACAGTTGCAAAAGTCATTCCAACCTTGAGAATATTTTCATGATGCTCTTCATTTATCACCTTTGTTGGTGTTGAGAATGACTCACAAAACAAACAATTGAATCGGAAATTCTCATCTCGTTTGTAATAGCATGGGTTCATCCACACACATCAACTCCATTCTATGGATGTGATCACTTTCCTACAAATTGGAATGGAGTGTAAAACCTGTTTTTGACAATATTTTTAAAATAAACAAGCACTTCGCCTAAGAACAAATCCAACAAAAGTTTCCTCAGAAAAGACTCAAATTGGGAGTGGAAGACGTGCATCACTAATCAATTGCAATTACAAATTTTTTACATTAGAAGAAGTAATGATGGGATTTGGAGATTTTTTTGGATTCAAAATCTAAAGAAATAAAAAAAACTTAAGGATGACATGCTTTCAGGGGACCGTTATTTATGATGTTTGATTGATCTTAGCATCCACTTACAAATAAAAGGTTGAATTGCAAGCAAGACTAAAAGCGTGGGGTCGAATTTCAATTTCCAAAAGTCTTTTAATTGTAATTTGAAATAACAAGATTGTCGTTTCTGATCTCGCGATCGACGACCCGACCCGGCGGAAGTGCTTCCTTCTCCTTCAACGGCCAGCAGCAACCCAACGGCTTATCATCGGAAAAAGGGAACACCAGCAGTGCCGGAAACTGATGGCGTCCAACGGCCTCCATCCTTTCGACCTGACCCCGGCGAGGTCCATCTTAGACGGCGTCCTCTCCAGCGACGTTGTTCAATCGCAACTCGGACCGAATTCCCGACCAGTAGCAACCTGAAGCGACGAACGGCGGTTACCTCCAGATTCCGGGGATGGACGCAGCGCACCAAACGCAGAGTCCAGATCCGAATTTTGGGCACGTGAAATTCTAAAATTACCCCTTGTTCTATATTTTTTACTCTCTCCGTACCACAAAACATTACTCATTTTCAATACTATTTGGTCAAACAGTTACACGTTCTAACTACAAATTGCGAGAAAGGTATATTGAATTATAATATAAATTTAATATAATTGGATTCATCTTAGGATCTAGTTTAGATATATCAAATTTTTATAGCATTTCTTTATTTAGATTATATTGAATTTATGATCAAAGTGTGTAACTGTTTGGCCAAAAATACATCAAAATGGATAATATTCTGTGGGACGAAGGGAGTAATTTTCATATTCCATACCCTTATTTGTCATTTTACTCTCAATTTCTCTTACTCTATATATTTTCCTAGTTTCAAATTGTCAAGGGAGCTCCCCATTTACATTTTCATTCTTAGTCTAGGAATTTATGTTCATGTTCTTCTTCATCTTGCCATTTTTAGTTTGGGAGTTCCACTTTATTTTCGTGGTTTTATTTAGATCTTTATTTCTTCATTTACTTCATGCCTAGTTTATCTACTACTCTCTTTTTATTTAGATTAGGATAATGATATTTGTACCCCAAGAATTTATACCTCATTTTATACACCGCAGGGAGGCACTAACATTTTGTGTTGTTGTAATGCTGATTTTTGTTAACGCACCAACACTTTGTGTCACTGTAAATTTTTGTTAAGGCACCAACATTTTGTGTCAGTGTGAACCATCAAAATATTGATGCATACTTTTAGTGTACAAATAAGATACAAATTTTGGGGTACATGTAGCATATCCCTTTAGATTAAGCATACTAGGCTAGATTTTCTAGTCTAGGTTAGGTGATGGATTGTTCACAACTGTTTGTTGTTGATGGACTAGTGTGAAGCATGAGATTTTAGCTTAGGGATGTTTGTGAAGGTTGTTTAATTCATTGTTTGGATGTCATTGTTGACCACAATGAAATTCTTGTACTCTGGAGTGAGTTCTAAATCATCGAGGTAAATCACCGAGGAATCGAGATTTAGACCCCTAGCCGTGTGTCTCTACTTCAAGTCCTACCACCGAAGTGGAGGATACTTGAGGAGCTTGTTTGATGTGTTTGTAGTTCTCTTGAGACTAGCGCCACGAAAGTGAGTTCTTATCAAGAGAATTCTTTCTCGATTCTCATAGAAGTGAGAATCAAGGTGATTTACTCGCATTCTAGTTGATTTCTCTTGTCCATCTAGTTCATTGGCAATTTGCATGATTAACATGAAATCCCTAATCTAGGTTTGCTTTCCTATTATTCATTATCTTTCCTTTTTAGCATCAATCATTGCTTCATACTAATTCATTCCATTTGCATGTCATCATCTTCTCCTTACATTTGGCCTTGATTCAGATCATACGATTTGATATTCCTGTTTAGTTACACCTTGCGCTCAACTCCTTACCAATAACGATGTCCCTGTAGATTCGACATCCGTACTCTACCACTACACTTACTCATTACTTTTTCCACATTGTCATCCCATATTCCATTCCACTTTACCTTTCATCCTTTTTGACTGGGAGTTTTCGTCGTCCAACGACGCACCAGAAATCTTTTGCTATGTGGGAGTATTTTGAAAACATGAATCATCAGCCTCATTTTAAAAATTAAGATAGTACATCAATACTTTTATTATAACTATCGGTGGGGTTCTAGTGACACCCACTTTTGGTGACACTAGTCGTGCCAATGTCATTTTGGAGCACTTCCGGTGCTCTGTTTGTAAAATTGACGCTCCCTACCCCACCCCTACCCCCGCCCCTGCACCCTAACCCCAACCCCGCCGTAAGCCCCCACAAAACGTGTGGCTATTATGCATTGCATAATAGCCACACATTTTGTGGGGGCTTACGGCAGGGTGGGGGTGAGGGTGCAGGGGCGGGGGTAGGGGTGGGGGTTTAGGGGGTGGGTGAGGAAGAGTAGAAACTGTCAATTCTACGAATGGAGCACCAGAAGTGCCCCAAAATGACAATGGCACCGGAGTGTCACCAAACTCTGGTGACAGCACTAGAACCCCACTGTATCACTATTAACATTGTTGATATTAATATCCGTATTATTTTTATTATTTAATAGTATTTGTATTATTATTATTATTATCATTATCATTATCATAATTATTACTATTATTGGTTCGGACCGTCTGAGCCGCAAGCTTAAACATAAAACCTGAGCCCGGCTCTCAAGTTTGTGGGCTCCCGTTAATTACGGATCGGGCTGAGCTGTATCCCAAAAATTCAAGCTCAAACCCATTATTTTGTGAGCTTGCTAGTACGGGCGGGCTGGGTACCCCTGGTCCATGATCCGGTCTAGGCTCACACCAACCCTAAAGAGTACACTGAGTAAATCTTCTTTGCATAAATATGTGTCGTCTCATAAAATATCATCCTATGAAATTTCCATTACGATTGCGTAAATGAAAACGTAGGAAGTAAGTCCTCTCTCATTCAAAATTTCTTAATTTTATGTATAAACATCTTGAATTGTAACACAATATAAGTATGTACTGAGTAAATCGTAAGTTACAATATAAGATTATTTGGATTAAAATAGTAGATCAAGTTACTAAGATGAAGTATAAAAGTCTTATTAAGTCTTTATTCTAATTTGTTTATTTTAAATATTCAATATTTTAAAAATAGTCAAATTGTATGGAAATACTTTTATTTCATTTCTTAATTAGTCATCTTATCATAAACAAAAGTTCTAGGTAAGATACGCATCGAGTCAATCTCATAGTATACGTATTATCCATTTGTCTAAAAATAAAGTACATAATCATGACACATATAATTTTCTTAATTAGAAAATATAGTTTAGTCACCTAATTATAAATTATAAATTTCTTTGAGTAATCTCAAAATAGTCTTTTTGAATAAGGTATTTTCTAAAATCAATGTTATTAAGCATTAATTATCTATGTAGTAATTTATATTCACTAAATAGTACTCCCTCCGTCCGGAAATGATGTTCCCATTTTGACTTTTCCTCATTTTAAAGAAGCATTGACCAAGGTAATGAATAGACCAAAATGCCCTTCCACCCATCCATACCCACCAAATACAGCTTCCCCTGGCAGCCACCACCGGCCCAACCCCCACTGCCGCCAGCCTCATTATCTCCGCCAGCCCAAACGACCATCACCTCAGCCGCCGTCACCACCAGTCCTACCATCGCCCATAGCCTCCACCATGACCATATATGGGAGAAAGAAAAAAGAGAGAAAGTAGGGGAAGAAAGAGGACAAGGAGAATAAAAAAAGGACATAGATCTACTGCAGATCTAAAAGTAGCCCCAACATTGCCGCCACGTACAACCCCACCACCGTCGGCAGTCCTACAATCGGCGCCAGAAAAGAAGAAAAAAGAGAGTAAGAATTGCAGACTCACCATCGCCATCTCCGGCCGCCACCGTCGCCATCGCCGGCCGCCACCATTACCGCCATGGGTATGCGTAAATCTAAAACAAAGATGGAGTAGAAAGAAGAAGGGGAAGATAAAGAAGAATAAGGATTATAGAGAGGAAGAAGAAGAAGATTGAAGGATTTGAAGAGATGAAGAGATGAAGAAGAAGGAACCGAGATGGAGGAGAAGAGAGAAGAAGAAAAAGAAAAAATCTTGGGATGAGGAAAAGTGGTGGCGGAGAAAAAAGAAAGACAGAGAAAAAAAAGAAAGAAAGAAAAGGAGAAAGAGAGGGTAATTTTGGAAGAGTAGAGAAAAAATGGTAGAATGGGAACATCAATTCCGAGCAGAAAAAAGAGTAGAATGAGAACATCATTTCCGGACGGATGGAGTACTTGAATAATGTCCCACAATGTCTAGTGGCGGTATTTCCCATTATATAAACACAGGAAGAGGGTAAAAATCAAATAGGGAGTAAAACAATAGGCGCCGTTTAGGAAAGCCATCCCATACAAAAGGCATATATTAGTAATTAAGAAGAACAATACAGACCAAAAAGGGACAAAAACAAAACGTTTCTGATACTTCTTTCATTCTCATCATCAGTACAGAAGCATGGTTTGTATTTTGTAGTATAGCGATCCATTATATATATATATATATATATATATATATATAGGCTAGCTATTATATTAATATTATTATATATTTATATAAATATATGTAGAATGATACATATCCACAGCTTTCCTGTCATGAGTCGTCGGCCTGGCCATTCAACTTTTGCATGAGGGAAGCATATCATAATATAGCCAAAGAGAAAAATTAAAAACATAAAAAAACTTTAAATTATCATATCGCGTGGCAGCTGGCAGCAAGGAGCCTTCGGGCTTTGTTTGGTTCATCCAAATCCATTTGATTCTTCCCATTTGATTTCACATAAGCTTCCGAGCTGCACACCACGTTTTTTTTCCAAAGTCAATTCCAACCTCATATCCTTCTACTTTTCAACATTTTTTATGCATTATGTCCCGTCAAAATAGACATTAGAGGATTATGAAAATTCTTATTATTATTATAACTATAATTGTCGATAATAATACCAACATCATCTTTAATGATAGTAAGAAAAAATGACATTTTTTATTAATAGTAACGAACTACGCATCAAGTTGTATAGAGTACCAACATCTTTAAGCAATTTTAATAGGAAATACTTGGGAACCCAACTTGCTAAGCATTTGACACCAAGTGTACACCAAGGCTAACACGGACACATACAATCACTCAATGTTTGTGTGTGCAAGACATTGAGCGTCTGTCTTAGCCTTGGTATGCATTTGACATCAAATGTACACCAAGGTTAACACCAAATACTTGGGAGGCCCTAAGCATTTGACACCAAATGTACGCTAAGGCTAAGGCAGACACATACAGACAGTCAATATTTGTGTGCAAGACATTGATTGTCCGTGTGTGTCTGTCTTAACTTTGGTGTATGTGCATTTGGTGTAAAGTGCTTGGGCCCCCTATCAGGATATCACTACTCATTTTAATATTCACATTTGTATTAATATTGACATTGATATATACGGAGTGTGTGTGTGTGTGTGTGTATACCGAGTAATAAATTAATATTAATCGAACTGAATGAAATTTAACCAAAGTTAGTTGCAACTGAATTTATAGGTACTAGACTGAACTTATCTAAAGTAAACTAAACTGAATGATAGAATCCCTAAGAGAAAAAGAAATTTCATAAACCAATCTTTTACTCAACCTCTGAAAATGTTTATGGATACTACCCCAAGCTCATTTAAATTCATTATAAGGAAATATAAAAGATCTATTCCTAAAGATGTTAGAATCCAGTCATCCACATCCGAATATCTAAGTTGCACAGGGTTGGGAACAGGAAACATCAACTTTTTCAAAATGTATTAAGGATTTGGGTGTCAGGACGGCACACGGCACGTAATATCCAAATGAGGATGTTTCATGGACAATGAATGACACTTATATTTGAAGAACCCATGCAACATAGCCGAATATAGAGACGAATGGGCTATGGTTTATTCTCAACATTGCAATCTTTTGAATGGAAAATGGAAGGAAATAGAAGGAGAAGAAGGAAAATGGAAATTTAAGTTTTCCTCTGTTCAGTATACTTCAAAAAACCCACGATGGTTCGTGCAATTAGGACAGTGAACCATGTCCTTGTGTTCATTCTGATAAGTGATATTGGACAAGAAAATGCCCAGACCATTAGAGTTCATAGTGATCTCTATAAGCAACAAATCAATTTAGATCACATAGAAAGAAAACAGAGACGCCCACGAAATACATTTTTAATTGCTCCCTCCCCGTCCTAAAACATTATTCCTAGTTACTATTACTATTTACACAGTCAAACTTAATCACTTTCTTGTCACATTTTGTTTTGATTTTGTTTTGTAGAACTTTTGATGTGGTTTTTAAATATATAAATTTTAGTTTCATTTTACACTCACAATCAAATAAATTAAATTTAAAATAAAATCGGTCAAACATCATAAATAAGAATGGGAGAACATTTTAGGACGGGGAGAATAGCATTTTGGATAATTTCAATCGTGATTAACTTTGAAAATGCTAAAACTGGTTGAACTGTTGCCAAATAGGCCCTTCATTCATGTTTGATTTTAATGATGTGAACTGAAATGGTTTAGATTCATTGGGGTTTGTTTGGAAACAACATTTCTAATTAACATTAGAGTTTTGAATAATAATAATAATGATTCACACATAGTTTTACTTTTACAACGCCAAAGATGAAGGAAGACACTTACAGTGAGGGTGTTTCTCAGGCGAAAACGATAAATGGCAGAGAATGCTGCGGCCGAGCATGGACAAGCTGGCGACGATCCCGACGAAGTACAAAACCATGGCCAGGCAAAGCACCCACGGCATCATCACGAATCCGATGAAGAAAGTCACAGATCCACAAACCATCAAGGCGCACGAAATCCCTAGCAGGAAGGTAGCGAATCCGGCGGGACTGATTTGCTGCTGAACCGGCCGAAGCCTCTCCCCCACCGGAGATGCGTCGGCGAATCCAATAGGCGCCGGCGGACATCGGAGAATGCTCAGAGCCAAAGCAGAGAGCTCGTACAGAGCCCTCGTGTGCTGATCCTGCTGCCTGCGCATCATCTTCCCGAATCGAGACAGCGAATTCGGCCGGCGGCGAACTGTTTATCAAGGATCAATTATTGCGGGAATCGAGGCAATTGATTGGATAACAACTTTCCTTCGTTGGATCGGATTGAAGTTTATCCTTTGGAGTAAATCTCACGATTTATTGGAGAGTTCCTGGTTAGTTGGTTGGTTCGCTGAGAGAGGAGAGAGAGAGTAAAAGAGGGATCTGATCGTAGATTAATCACTCGCTAATTGCTATATATACACAGAATGTGTCCATCTTTATCTGTGTCTGCTATCAAATATTCCCTTCTCATAAACTAATTTTAATGTCATTTTTAAAGTAGTTTTAAGTTTACTATTTTGCCTTTAAAATGATCTTGGTGTAATATGTGTTCCAAATTTTGAATAAAAGCAAACTTTTTCATGTACTCAAAATTCATGCTCATTTTATTGATCTTAGCGCATATGTAGAATAAAAGAAATAGATTTCTTGCAAAAAAAGAATATATCTCTATGCAAGCCTATGAATACTATGATAATTTTCACATTTAAAATGTAGATCTTGAGATCATGTAAACATCACTCTTGAATAAAAGACATTTCATTCCTTCCAAAGTAAATTAACCATTTTGATCAACATGTAAAATCTCCAAACTTTTAAAATGATTTTATTTATAAATTGGTATTGAAGAAAAAATAAAATTTATATATTTAAAAATACATCAAAATTTCTACAAAACAAGAGATGTCAAAAGTATTTTATTTTCTCAAATTATTAATAAAAATATACACACAAATTAAAATTATCGAAGAGTCGTAATAGTAAAGAAGTAAATTATTTTTAGACCAAGAGAGTAATAGAAATTGAAATGTGATTTGATTGAAAAATGAATGAGATGCTACTGTCAAAAAAATAAATGAGATGCTATAAAAAGTGGGGATGAGGTATGAAAAAGGATTCTAAGAGCACTGGAAATGCCGCTGACGCCCCGGGGCATTATCTGGGACTTAACGTCATCGGGGCGCCAAATACCGCCCGCCTTCGGTGTCAGACGGGCGTCAAACGCCATGCGTTAAAAGTTTGAGGCAGCGGCAGCAACGGCTCTTCGGATCTCCCTCCCCCAACAACCATAATTTGGACCGTTGGACATTATTTATTTTTTATTTTAATACTATAATTACCCCTTATTTTTAACACAACAAACACACACAACCTATTTTCATTTTCTCTATAATTTCTCTAAAATATACTTTATTCCTTTTAATTATGTTGTTATTATTCAAATCTTATTTTATTAATGTAATTTTTTATTTAATGAATTATTGTCTTTTAAATTCAATTAAATAATGACATATTTTCTTACTAATTTAATTTTAGAAGATGTGTATTAAAAATTAAAGTGTTAGAAGATGTGTACCAATGCCCCCTTCTTCACCAGAAAATAGCCAGAAAATGATAAGAGAGGTATGGATACAACGGGTAAATTTCACAAATGGTACTTGAACTTTAGCTGGAATTTCGAAGTAGTACCTGAACTTCAAATCCTTTCACAAAAAGCCATGAACTTACACAATCCTTTCACTAATGAGCCATTAGCCCGTTTCTAGGTTAACTTCCGGTCGTTAGGGCCAAATTCGAATTTTATATATTTTAAAATTTTCAATTTGACCGCATTTCTTCTTTTCTTTTCTTCCACGCCCCGCCGCCGCCGCCCGCTGGTCAAAGTCGCCGGAAAATGAACTTTTTCCGATTCCGGCGGGACCAATGTCATTCTCTTCGTCTTGAGACGAGGATCAATAATATCCAAACCATTTTGTCTAATTTGGCCTGTAACTTCTCGAATCTGAATTTTTCTACTCGAAAAAACCCTAAAATTCGAAATTGGATCCAAAATTGGGGGTTTTGCAAATCTTCATCAAATCTTGCAATTGAGGGGTCCTTGGAGGTCGCCCGGATGCCACGACCGCATTGGAGTTGGTTCCCGCCGTCAATTTCGCCGGATTTAGCCGGAAAACGCTCCGACCCGCCGGAAACCGCCGGNCCGCCGCCGCCCGCCGGTCAAAGTCGCCGGAAAATGAACTTTTTCCGATTCCGGCGGGACCAATGTCATTCTCTTCGTCTTGAGACGAGGATCAATAATATCCAAACCATTTTGTCTAATTTGGCCTGTAACTTCTCGAATCTGAATTTTTCTACTCGAAAAAACCCTAAAATTCGAAATTGGATCCAAAATTGGGGGTTTTGCAAATCTTCATCAAATCTTGCAATTGAGGGGTCCTTGGAGGTCGCCCGGATGCCACGACCGCATTGGAGTTGGTTCCCGCCGTCAATTTCGCCGGATTTAGCCGGAAAACGCTCCGACCCGCCGGAAACCGCCGGCGGGTCGGAGCGTTTTCCGGCCACCTCCGGCAAAATTGACGCCGCTCATCCCCTCCAACGTGTTCGTGGCATCTCGGCGACCCCCAAGGACCCCTCAATTGCAAGATTTGATGATGATTTGCAAAAACCTCAATTTTGGACCCAATTTTGGATTTTAGGGTTTTTTTGAGTGGAAAAATTCAAATTCGAGGAGTTGCAGGCCAAATTGGACAAAATGGTTTGGATATTCTTGATCCTCATCTCAATACGAAGAGAACGACGTTGGTCCCGCCGGAATCGGATCAGGTTGATTTTCCGGCGATTTGACGTGGTGCGACGGCGGCGGGGAGCGGAAGAAAAGAAAAAAAGAAATAGGGTCAAATTGAAAATTTTAAAATATATAAAATTCTTATTTGGCCCAAATGACTGGAAGTTAACGTAGAAACGGGCAAATGGATTTTTAGTGAAAGGATTGTGTAAGTTCAGGGATTTTTTTGAAAGGATTTGAAGTTTAGGTACCACTTCGAAATTCCATCTAAAGTTCAGGTACCATTGGTGAAATTTACCCCAAATACTCCGAGTACTTTAGCTTCAAGAATCTTAATTTCTGGAATAACTTCTTCAATCAAAGCCATTGTAAAAAATTTGTTGTTGAGAAAAGCAATATTGAACATCTATTTAAAATTATAGCGAGATAGTGACTCTCCTAAATATGAGATCAAATGTTAGATTTCCAGTGAGAATAATAACTGTACGTACCTAACGAGTTGAGAATATATAAATAAATACTACATTATAATAGAGTTATTAATATTAAAAAAAACATTAGTAGCGCTAATTGAAAAAAATAATCCAAAACAAATCTAAATTATCAAAAAAGGACACATGTACTATAAGTTTATAACAAAATTTGTGAGGTCTCGGTCCAAAGCAAACAATATCATACTAATGCAGTGTTAGAGTGAGGGCACACACACTTCCAACATATGGTATCGGATCCTAGATTTAAGTGGTAGGAGTGGCGGTCTGGCGGACTACAAGGTGCAGGATTCTCGAACCTAAGTGATAGAATTTGAGATGAGTATGAACAACTGGATTGGGTAATAAAACACTTGAGTTGAACCATATTAAAAGATTGAATCCAATCGATTAAAATAAGACACTTGGGCTGAACCGTATTAAAAGATTGAATCCAATCGATTATTTAGTTCAACTCAAGAGCTTATATACCGATTAATTTCCTCACACTTTTCCGATGTGGGATGCTCTTTAACACTAAGTTTATGATGATAGGCAGGAGTAAAGACCAGAGGAGTTCCTTGTGTTGTGCGAAGTCAACGATGTGCCACTAAAGGGTGATCTACAGGTTAGCGGGTGGAGATCTATTATAATGTCTTGTATCAAAAGTCTTCCCGAAAAGAAGAACTGGTCACTGGTCAGGCACTCGCAAGTTATTCTGACGGAACGGTGCAGGATGGGTGATAAATCAGAAAGAGAAAACTATGAAATTTTGGAATTGAATTGTTCAAGTTGATTAATCACCAACAAAGTATATACTCCGTATACAGGAATATATGAGTCTCAATTACACGTTGGCCCATAAACTAAACTACATGATTACGTCCTTTATACTCCCTCCGTTCCAGAGTATTTGTTCACTTTCATTTTTACACACCATCCAATACATTTCTTTAATCCATTTTATCTTGTAATTTGTATATTAAAAAATTATAGAAATTATATATATTAATAATCTACTCCCTCCCTTTGAGTCTTACCCATTTTGACTTTTTAGCAAAATAAGGAGACCAATTTTTTGCTTTGACTTCCCCAATTTACCCCCCAACCCTAATCAAAAAGCAAAATTGCAATAACTCATGAATAGTGTAAAGCAAAATTTTATAGCTAGTGGAGTACGCATCACATTAACTATGGCAGGCAATCATACCCCAAAAAACCCATCCGTACTGCCCATGTCTCAAACTACAGGGATTACATTCACCATCACCATACATTACATTCATTAAATTTGTTTAGATGGTGAATTTTTTTGGGAAAATTTGATATTCCCTCCAAAACACCCCTCCAAAACTTAAACAAAAAACTACAAATTCATACAGGCANAAAATATTATAGCAAGTGGAGTACTCAACTGCCCATATGTTTCAAACAGGGATTACATTCACCCAATTCACCATCAAACCCCAAATTTTCACCACCAAGCCCCTCTCACAGAACAAACAATATGGTAGACCAGACCAATACAGTGTTGTAAGTCTCCAACCCATAGGGGGTGACATTACAATATAGCTAAACCCAAAAAAAGCTCACAGACTTCCAACCATTCACACAAAGTTTGTTTGCATCATAAGTTTACCAATAAACATTATACAGAGTATATAATGGGACATGCAAGTACTAATCGAATGTGAATCTAAAGAGGAAGAACATAATACTCTGTCTGTAACGCAGTGCTTTAGCCTCATCCCCATAGGGCTCAGATAAAATTCTTTCTGTATCAGACATCTCCAAGATCTGGGCAGAAGTTACTGATTCTCCATCTTCCCCATCAGATTCGACACTGCCTCCTTCATCCTCAGACGGAAAAAAGTCACCCCCCAAATATTTTTTCCGATACCACCACGTCGGATCTGTATCATCCGTGCCAGATGCGCTATCACCAGAGTCGTAAGGAGGTATCAGTGATTTTTTAGATTTAGGAGGTGGCTGGGGAGATGCCCTTTCATCTTCGCTATCGCTTAAAAGCTTGAAGGAGGGCATGGTAGGATCGCGACCCACCATTTTTGGTGAATTCTTGAGGGTGCCGGTGGCGATGGGGAAGAGGAACAGCAGCCACAGAGAGAGCTAAGGATAGAGGAGAGAAGATGAATGGATGAGGGGATGCGTAGGAGAGAGGATGAATGGATGGTGGGTGGGGTAAGAGGGTGGGGGTAGAAATTAGGTTTAAGGGTAGGAATGTCATTTTTAGGCAAATGTGTAAATGTTTGTGAGACAAAAATTTTATGAAAGGGGTAAATCTTTATGGGACGGAGGGAGTATATGTTAAGACAAATCAAACAAGATCACACATGACTATATTTAGGCTTACACATTGAGAGAATTTGATGAGTCAAAGTGCTTAGATGAACAGTTCCAAAAGTCAAAACTGGACGAATATAGCGGGACGGAGGTAGTATATAAATTTCAGAGTCAAATCTCTTAGAAGATAACATGTGTCAAGCCTTAGAAATGACATGTGTCAAGTATTAGAGATGGCATGTGGTAAATTTAATACTCCCTCCGTCCCAAAAAGAATTGGACGGTTTGACTTTTTGGAAAATTAAGGGAGAGATATTTTGGTATAGACTTTCCAAAAATACCCTTGATGTGATGAGTAAAAGTAGGATGTGATTGGTAGATTATTAGGAAAAATGTATGATGTGATAGGTAGGGTATGAAAAAGTAAGGGGTAAAAGTGGTTTTTTAATAGAAATGTAACGGACTTTAAGGGACGCAATTTTTTTTAAACGTAACAAACTTTTTGGGACGGAGGGAGTATGAGTTACTCCGTACTTTTTTTTAATTTTACTTTCTTATTTTCCATCTCTTCAAATATCACACTTTTACACTCCTTTTTTTTAAACGACCTTTTTTAGTTGGATTCTAGTAACACTTACTTTTGGTGACACTAGCGGTGCCATTGTCATTTCGGGGCAATTCCGGTGCTCCGTTCGTTAAATCGACGGTTCCTACCCCCGCCCCTGCACCCCCACCCCCGACTCCGCCGTAAGCCCCCCACAAAATGTGTGGCTATTATGCCATGCATAATAGCCACACATTTTGTGGAGGGCTTACGGCGGGATTGAGATGGGGTGCAGGGGCGGGGTAGGGTGGGGGGGGTTTAGGGGAGAGGTTAGGGGGGTAGGAACCGTCAATTTTACGAACGGAGTACCGAAAGTGCCCCAAAATGATAGTGGCACCGGAGTGTCACCGTACTCCGGTGTCACTAGAACCCCACTCCCTTTTAAAAAATGATAATTTCCTATTTCAGAATTCATGAACCTATTCCAAAAGTGATTTGATCCTTTAGAAGTGTGATTTGTTGGATTAAGTGTTGCTTTTCAAAACTTATTTATTATTTTCAAAACCAATTTATGTCTCTGTTAATCATAAAATGTATGTTGAGGTGTGCTCTCTTTTGTGTGTTTGAGTGTTGTTCTTGTGTTAGTGTGTGAGTTTGTGTGCGTGTGAGTTGCTCTTTTGTGAGTTTTCTAGTTATGATATACGGAGTATTTACCTTCCACTTACTTGCTTTCTTTTAAAGTGGCATTGTATACATGCATTTTAGTATACTTTTTGGTAATGTACATGATCATGATTAGTGATGTAAATATATTTTAACTTCTATTTCGAAAATAAAAATATGGAACTCCTATTTTGGTATATTTTCAATATTTTATTCTTACTTTAGTCTTTTTTCCATTAATTTAGGTCAACCCAAAAACAAAATAAGGAAGATTAATTTGGAACAAAATGAGTATTAATTTGATGCATGATAGTTCTTTGTAAAATTTGCATTGTATAGGACTAAAACATAAGTCATTTTCAAGTGTAGGACCCAAACTTTTTTGTTCCTTAAATAAGACTTAATAATGATTAATGAGAAGAATAATGTCCAAATTAAATGATGCTGGATATTTAGTTGAATAATGACTAATATATAATGACCAATGGTCCAACATTAGAAAATAAAAAGATATGATCTTATATTGATAAAGTCATTATGTTTTAGTCATATTTACGTAAATTATCCTAGTTCTTTACATCTATATGAAGTAGAAAAAATAGATACTACTCTCTATAAGTTTGATGTATAGTAATTGTTTTAGTGGAAATATATTCTATCTGTCCCAAAATGATATTCCAAAAATAATTTTATTCATAAATTTATATAGAAATAAAAAGTAAAAATTATATATCAAAAAAATTATATAAAAAAAATTTACAAAATAATTTATGACATAAATATTTTATTTAATTAAATGATCAAAGAAATGTAAATACTGAAAAGCTATCAAGATGTCGAATTAATAAATGGGTAAATAGGACTAAAACATAATGATTTTCCTAATGTAGGACTTAAACTTTTTTATTCCCTAAATAGGACTTAATAATGACCTTGTGGAAAGAATAATATCCAGTAATGATGGACATTTAGTTGAATAATGACTACTTGATAATGACCAAAGGTCCTACATTGGGAAATAAAAACATATGGTCCTATATTAGGAAAGTCATTATGTTTTAGTCCTATTTAGGTAAATTTCTCTAAATCATTTTAGAAAGGATGGAGTAATTTAATTTGAAAAAATAAAAAGAAATCTTCAAATTTCCGAAAATTATGAAAGTATGGAGTAAATAGTATTGCGTGTATCATGATGAGTACATAGCTTTCGGGCTTTTAATTGCTTTATCGAGAAGCAAGCAATTGTTTATGTGGAAAGAAAGAAGAATTGGAGTTTAATGTTAGGCACATCCCCACATCTTATTCGCGAGTGAGCTACACGTCCTTTTATCTTAAAAATGTGCGGCTAACTGACGTGTTGTCTTATCCATTCCAAGGCCCGCCCGCAATAGGATAACCACAAGTCAACATTTAACTAGAGTTATATCCCTCACCAATAATTGTTTGGACCATAGTTTAAAATATGGGTGAGCATGGTACGGTATTTAACTCGTACCGATACTGTACCAAATATTTCGATTCGGTATGAGATTTTACTCCGTACCGATTCTGATCTAGTTCAGTATCGGTTTCGGTACAAATTAGAATGAATATAAATACCTACTTTACACGTTAAAATTTAACTATACCCCTTTATTTTTTAAAATTAAAAGGGAATTTAAAGAAAACAACATGAAAAAGTAAAAAAATGAATATTTAAATGCAAGAGATGCGTAACAAAACTTAGTTTATATTTCACAAACTAAAAAAATTAATGACAACAAAGGAGTATTTCGAATCTTTGTGAATACTTTTATGTTCATACACAAAAACTAAAACTCAAATAAAAATATAATTTACACATCATAGAACTTGTACCAAATTGTTTTCAAAAAATTATTATTTAGTGAAGGAATATAAAAATATTACTCCGAGTATTATTGTTTATAATATTTTAGTATATATGTTGGGTATGGGATTCTAGGTATGTGACTTCACCTCGTACCGTTCCTGAATACTGTACCGACCATTCGGTTCGATACGATTTGGTTCCTTCTCGGTACTTTTTTGGTTCGGTACTTTTCGGTTCGAGATTCTCAGTTTTTTCGAGAAATTTTGGTATCGGTTCGGTACTTGCTCACCCCTAGTTTAAAAAATCACACCGTCCATCGAACCGATTAAGGCACTACGTAATTCAAACATATATATTCTATCTGTCCAATAATAATATTCTCGTTCACTATTCACATGGTCAAATTTTATTCACTTTATTGGCATATTTTCGTTGTGTATATATATATATACACACACACACAAGTATTTCTACCCGTGCCTCGCATGAGTTCAGACGAATTTTTTTCGATTCTACAACATGGATTTTTAAAATGAATTGATTTTTGTGGGGCATATTATTTAAACGTCAAATATAAATGATCTAGGTTTGATGTATTTCTACAAATCTATAATCTTTCTCCCTGTATAAATTCAAAAATATATTAATACAAAAAGTACTACGTATTCGTGATCCAATGAATCTTTTCCTCACATTAATTAAAAAACCTAAATTGCCGACCTTATAATTATATGATTAAATAATAGGATTCTTCTCATCCATAATTCCAACTACCTCCCCCCCCCCTCAATGATTATAAAAAAATTATTATTCTTTCCTGCATTATTAAAAAAAATCTTATATTAGCGATCCTCAATCTCTATGATTAAAACTTTTAATTTTAAAATATTAATTATTCAATTATTCTTCTCCCCCATATTTTGTTTAAAAAACATTAAAATGTTAGTGCTCCAATGATTTTGTCGGAATAGTATTCTGGTCAAGATATAAAATGTTCTATAAAAAAAATAGTTACAAATTGGAAATTGTACTTTCTTTGATGTGGTTGTAACCTGCAACTTAGTCTCGAACTTATTAGCTATTGCACCTTAGATATTTTGTACAGTTTTTCTTACTTTTGGATTTTGCTAGATCTTCATTGTTACAAACTTTCTCACGCTCTCTTCCACACCTTGATCTTCTTTATTACAATCTTCTTTGCATAAATCTGTACCGTCTCAAGAATATTGTCTTATAAAGTTTCTATGTACGATTGCTTAAATGAAAACGTAGGAAGTAAATCCTCTCTCATTCAAAATTGCTTAATCCTATGTATAAACATTTTGAATTGTAACACAATATAAATATGTACTGAGTAAATTGTAAGTTACAATATAAAGTTATTTTGATTAAAATATTAAATCAAGTCATCAAGATAAAGTATAAAGATGAAAAGATCTTATTAAATCTTTTTTCTAATTTGTTTATTTTAAATATTCAATATTTTAAAAATAGTCAAATTGTATGGAAATAATTTTATTTCATATCACAATTAGTCATCTTACCATAAACCAAAATTCTAGGTAAGATATGCATTGAGTCACTCTCATAGTATACCTATTATCCATTTGTCTAAAAGTAAAGTACATAATTGTCTAAAATGCATGGAGATGAGGAGAGGTAAGGGTGTGGATAGGTAGAAAAATAATTGTCTAAATTGCATGGAGATGTTGTGTTATGCCTAAACATACTAAGGGGCTGTTTGTTTCAGCCTCTTAATGGTTCAGATGTCTGAATGGTTCAGCATTTAATGGTTCAGACTGTTTGTTTCAGCCTCTTAATGGTTCAGATGTCTGAATGGCTCAAACATTTGCCTCTGAATGATTAAGTATTATAGAGAGTCTGAATGGTTAAGACTTCTTATCTGAATTGATCAGACATTTGCCTCTGAATAGTTAAGCATTATACTAGCTCTTAATGGTTCAAACCTCTTACAGGTTCAGCACTTAATGGCTCAGACCTCTTACTGGTTCAGCATTTACCGATTCAGAAGTTGCCAAACAGCCCCTAAGTAATTTTGGAGAAGCAACCAATGGTAAGGGCATCAAAAAAAGTGTTACAGTGTAGGTGAGCTTTGAGTAATTTTGATGCACGTGGGAAGTGATCCTAAAATAGTAAAATTCTTTAAAAGAATTGAACAACAAGCTATATAAGATATAAAGCTAGAGTTTAATCACACACACGTAAAAAAATACTTCCTCCGTCCCCCTGTATTTGTCCACATTTGACTTTTGGAACTGTTCATCTAAGCACTTTGACTCATCAAATTTTCTCAATGTGTAAGCCTAAATATAGTCATGTGTGATCTTGTTTGATTTGTCTTAACATATAGATTATTAATATATAATTTTTATAATTTTTTAATATATAAATTACAAGATAAAATGGATTAAAGAAGTGCATTGGATGGTGTGTAAAAATGAAAGTGGACAAATACAGGGGGACGGAGGGAGTATGACATTTTAACATGAGATTATTTGTATTATTAAATTTAAATTATTGCATAATAGTACCTAATCTGCGACAGAAACTGAGATGCGTCGCAGAATTTTTGTCCCAAAGCCACTATTTTGGTTGCAGAATTAGAAATTGCGACAGGGTTGCAATTTGACATTTTATTATTCTTAATGGATTGTGAATTTGACATTTTATTATTCTTAATACTATATGAGACGGTCCTTAATACTATATGAGACGGTCCTGCATAGCACTACATCAAGTCCCGTCAAGTTCCTGTCAAAGTTGGCATAACACATGGTGTAAGTATAACCCAAACAAATGGAGCGCGGAGCACATGTCTACAACAAAATGAAATTATTAAGGTTATTGCCGTACGTAATTACGGGCAGAGTTAATGTTAAATGACTGTCTCGGAGTCATCATCATAGTACTAAATCAAACCAAGTCTCTTGTCTTTGTCACTAAACACCACCACCAAAAAAGCAGAACAAAACAAAAAGCAAAAAAGAAAAAAAGATCAAATTTGTAGAAATCTTATGTGAAGAAAAGCAGCATCAACCAGGCAGGCTTATTCAAGCATTATACCACGTACAGGGTCTGGTGGGCTGGGCCCGAGTCTTGGGCCTGTCTTCTCTTCATGGGTACCACTCAGGAATGAAGTTATTCACACTGGGCCCTCCTAACGTTATATGGCTGTCCGTCTGGTACCTGAAAATCAAATGTCCAAAATAAAAAACAATTTAAGACCGATATTTTTAAAAGGTTGCATATGCCAGACTTGAAACTCTCACGTCTGCGTATACTCTCATCCGTTTGAGTATTTGTTCACTTTTAATTTTTTCAATCAAAATTGGTAAGTTTTCGCTTCAAATTACATATAAATGATATTAGATATTGATATAAAAATAGTTTTATTAGATTTATTATAACAAATTTTTTTCAAAATAATATTTTATCTAATTAATATATAATATATATTTTATTAAATTATAGGTCAAACGTTAAAACAGTTGATCGAAAAAAGTTAAAACTGGACAAATACTCAGAGACGGAGGTAGTATACACCCTCCGTTTTTAAAACACTCCTCTTTTATTTTTTTTCTTTCATCAAAACACTTCCACTTTCTAGAAAAAAACCACTTTTATCTATATTGTTTCTTACCCTACCTATTACATCATATTTTTTTTACTAATATTCTACTCATCATAGTTTACTTTTACCCATCACATGAGAGCAAATTTGGAAAGTCAATTGGAGGGAGTACTTGACTTGTGGTAAGTAGAGTTATGCATGTGATGAGATATATAAGAGAAAACTAAAGAACAAGTATATATAGAGAGTTAAGAATTGGAAGTTTACCCAATCTGTAAAGTGGGTTCACAATCCATGTGATGATAGAAGGCGGCTTGGCCCCCGTCGGGTTGAATCGTTTGTCTCCCGTAATCGGTGTCCGGTTGCATGGTTTGTCTGGCGTAATCGACATCGTGCGGGTTCGGGTTCCAGTCCAAAGTTAAGTGGTGGGCATCTTCCATCAGCTGTTATATATAGATGATCCAGTTACTACTTGCTATACATATTACCACCACAACATAATTCCCAAGGATATAACTAACACATTCTTGGACATTGGGGGATATTTACCCCAATTGCAAATCCATCAGTTGTTTCCCATACATAAATATGTGATGCAAGCAATTACCGCAGTAAAATTATTTCAGGTCAAAGAATTGTGTACCTAAATGATAGAGATCACAAAGTAATGATACCTTGAGTAGCCAAATGTATGGGAAACAACTTAGCAAAAAGCAAGAAAAAAGCAAATGAAAGAGGAAATGATGAGAGGGAAAGAAAGAAGAGTAATTGTCACACAAACCCTTTGTTTCAGAGTCTTGTTTGCTTCGTTTAGCTCATGTTCCTGTAGAAACAGCAGTCAGGCTTTATATAAAACAATGAATTAACCACTAGACCTTACTCTGAACTCCCCATTTATTGAATGAATTTAGCCAACATATTATTGGAATTTTTTTTAAAAAAAATAATCAAACTAATGTTATTGTAACCAATTAAAGACAAGCCAATTCCCAAGTACTCCCTTTGTTCCAATATATTTTACGCATTATTAGACTTTTTATAGTCTCTAATATTGCATCCGTCCCACATAATCTTTCTTGCTTTGACTTTTAAAAGATTTAATGAGAGTGTATTTTTGTTGTTGACTTTTCAAAAATACTCTGGATTGTGATAGATAAAAGTAGGATGTGATAGGTAGATTAATAGTGAATATATGTGATGTGATAGGTATTTGAAAATCATTAGGGATAAAAGTGTCTTTTTAATAAAAAAAAATAAGAAATACTCCCTCCGTTTTCAAAAAGAGTTCCTACTTTGAAAAAGTGGAAAAATAAGGGAGTGTTAAATTGTAGTTGACTTCCAATTTTGCCCTTGATGTGATGGGTAAAAGTAAGATGTGATGGGTAGATTATTAGAGAAAAAGTATGATGTGATAGGTAGGGTATGAAAAAGTAAGGGTAAAAGTGGTTTTTTAATAGAAAGTGGAAGTGTTTTGTTGGAAGTGAAAAAAATGAAAGATGAAGTATTTTTGAGAACGAATGGAGTATTTTTTGGAACAGATAAAAAAAGAAAGCAGAAAGTTGTGGGACGGAGGGAGTAGCATATTTTGATCAATAATAATGATATGTGTACATAAATATATCGCATAAAAATATTATATTTTGAAATAAATTTAACTATCGAACTCCCTTTGTCAAAAAAGTTCCCAAATTTCTTTTTCTGGACGTATAAAAATGGTTTCATTCCAATTTTGGAAAACTTTTTGTGGCTAATCTCTTTTGTATCTCTTTCAACCATACCATTTTACGTTTCTTAAGCTTTTTGTCAAGTCAAATTAAGAGTTTTTTTTTGGATGAACAACTCTACATAAAAATGTACAAGTACTTTATATGCAAAATTAGTTTCAAGTTTGATAACTTTGATCCTGATAAATTAAATATGCAAACTAAATTAAGACCAAAAGTAGTTTTTCGTCACATTCCCCTTTTTTTACATTTAAAGTGTTTAAAGAAGGAGGGAGTTATTAATTTTGGAGAGAGGAGTATTTTAGAAAGAATATATAGGGTGTATTAGATACCTTTCTCTGAAGATCCATGAGTTGATCCAACATTAATTGGGTCTGCAGGGGTATATGCATGCATGGATTAATTAATTACATCATCATCATCATCAAGAAGGATTAATTAGCAAATTAAAGAAGAAGAAGAGGAAGAAAAGTTTGAAATTAGGGTTAGGTAAAAAAGGAATTGAACTAGAGTACATGCATATATATATATATATATATATATATATATATATATATATATATATTTATATTTATATACCCTTGTTGATCTGATCTGCTTCAATGACATATCAAGCTGCCTTTCAAGAGATTCAAGTTCCTTGCTGTTCAAAGGCCCAAGATCTTCTCCTAATAGGTTCCTATATTTATTTTATATATCACCACCACATATTAAAAATAAAAAACATGACTGTGTATTGGCTGGCACTTATTAGAAAAAATGTGAAAGGAATAATTTATAGATGGAAATTATATGAATATATATGTTCTAGCTATACCTTTGTGATCTCTGTAATGCTTCATATCTTGCTTTCAGTTTCAGATATTCCTGTTGACTACTTATCTCCTGCAAGCAAAGAAAAGTAGATCAAAGATTAGAGTTGGCAAATCGTTTGGTCAAATTCAGATTTGGTCATTTCACGATTGAGTTACTTCGGGTTTAGGTTCAAAACTGTATGTTCATGACCCAGTATCATCGGGTTTTAATCGACCTTATAGGTTATGACCTTATTTTTATAATTTTTAAATTCATATTGACACTTGCACTTTGTATTGAATAAAAATGAAATATCGAAAGAATTATGCAATAAATATATTTGATTATTTTGTTATTGTTTCTATTTTAACAAGCATTTTTAAGGGAATAGTCTCTTCTGTACATGACAAGAAATACTCCTTTCCATCCGCCACACAATAAGATAAGATAAGAGGTTAATCAAGAACAAGTACTTCGAATATTTTATCAACTATACCAGCAAGACTCTTTTTATAGAATCCAAAATGGAGATTAGACATGAAAGTCCTATGAACGTTCGCTAAAGAGGGAAACATTCGCGCGAAGAATTTTCTGGAATTTAGGGCCAATTTTGACATTTTATCCATACATCCAAATCCTTAAAGTTTTGGACCCCGTTCATGAGAGAAGTGTACATTTTTAAATGACACACTCTCTTTATTCTATGTTAGTTGTCTATTATAACTCTATAAATACATTAAAAAAATAGATGAATAGATACATATTTCATGTCTCCATTAAATAACTTTTCAATGTAGAGACATACTTTATGTCTCCATTAAGTACGTAGAGTTACGTTATTACCCCCACCGGAGAACTAACCGGTGAGTATGTGCCCTCCTATATAGGAGGGCCAATATTATCCCGCTGGACCACAAGGTCTTTGACATTTTTTATGTATATAATGCCTAGAATTTGAAATATGCAGCATGTGTAAATTTCTTAAACATTTCCCTTCAAAAAAATTATTTAACTTTGAATTAATTACAAAAGTTGTAATAATGAGTAATTAATTGTTAATAGAGGGGGAGTACTCGTGCACTCGTGCTTACCCTAATTGTTACTATCAAAATCATGTTTCTTATTAATGGAAGGGCAATAGTAAATTTTCTCAAATTGTTAGCATCACCATCTATGAGCTTTTAATTGAATGAAATTCTATTTCACAAAACACTTTCATCCAAATTTTCTTATGCATCTCAAAACACTTCTATCCAATCTAAAATATCTAAAATATACCCTTATTTTGTCGTTTATTGCGAGTAGAAGTTATTTTGATCGTCTTATAGATTTTTAGGTGGAATATAAAGATTTTATGAGATGTGTAAAAATTAAAGCAAAAATATTTTGTGGGACGGATACATGTTATACTTTCTTAAACATGTGTATACTGTATAGTAGAGCTTCCTCCCAAAACACTAGTGTTTCCCCTTATTTATTTTTAAATATACACTCCCAAGTATTTAAATACTCCGTAATTTGAGAGTGAGACATGTGAGTATATTTTAGGCTTGAAAAAATTTTGGCTTGAAATTAAAAGTTTTTTTAATTATAAAAATATGAGGAAATTATATATAATGTATGTAGGGGCCACAAAAAATTAATAATAAAAAATGGGTATGCATTTTCTGGAAAACTTTGTGATGTTGATGTTCTTATTAAATTTAAAACCCATATAGAGAGAGTAAAATATGGGCATTTGAATTAAAAGCGATTTAAAATCCATCATATTTTTATTTCCTCTACTAAAGTTAAATAAGCTGTAGTATCAAGCTATTAATCTATACAATGTTTCTGACAATTTTATATTTTTATTCTTTCTATTTTCTCGGGTTCCTTTGATGATTGATTTCACAATTGTGAGTGTCATTATTGACTTATTGCAGTCACATAATAATAATAATAATAATAATAATAATAATAATAATAATAATAATAATAATAATAATAATAATAATAATAATAATAATAATAATAATAATAAAGGGTTAAATATTCTTTTAGTCCTTATAAATTTTTTTGTAAAGTCATTCTTGTTTTTGGTCCTTATAAATTTTTGTTTATAAATTTTTTTGTAAAGTCATTCTTGTAAAATTCTTTTATTTTGAAGAATATTACTTAAACATAATTCGTACTTTTAATTTATTGAGATAACACATTTATTTCGTATTAAAAATCCTCGTCTTGCATTTTTATTACCTCCAACACAATTCTCATGCCTTGAATTGTGTCCTTATTCATAGTACATCACTAATTCTCAAATATTTTGGAAATATATAGTACTCCCTCCGTCCCTAAATAAAGTTCCATTTTTGACTTTTTGAGGATTTAAGGGAGGGATATTTTTGTATTGACTTTCCAAAAATATCCTTGATGTGATGTGTAAAAGTAAGATGTGATAGGTAAATTATTAGTAAAAAGGTATGATGTGATAGGTAGGGTATGAAAAAGTAAGGAGTAAAAGGGGTTTTTTAAGGGAAAAGAGAAGTTTATTTAGGGACAAAGAAAAAACGAAAGAAGAACTTTATTTAGGGACGGAGGGAGTATAACATAATTTGGAAATTGAAGATATAATTTGATGAATACCATGATTAATGGCATGAGAATTATGTCTGAGATAATTAGAAATAAAAAGTTAGAATGTTGAATCCAAAATAAACGTTTTTAGTCTACAAATTAGAAATGCTAACTACGTTTAAGGAGTATTTTAAAAATAAAGAACTTTGTAAGGATGACTTAACAAATTTTTTTGTACAGAAACCAAAAACAAAAATTACTTATTTCATAGGAATTAAAAGGATATTTAACCCTAATAATAATAATAATAATAATAATAATAATAATAATAATAATAATAATAATAATGATAATAATAAATCTCTTCGCTTCAGAATTGTTGAAGGTCTTTAATTACCTGCAGTGCTTCTCTTGTTGATATATTGGGTTCAGGTGCTCCATAGTTGCATTTCTGATACCTCTCTAATGTCTTGAGCATGCTATAAGTTTTATAATAATTAAATAAAATAAATCAGTACTTAAGGAACTCAAAATTGAAATTCTCTCCAATAAAAAATGACACCTGACATTAATAAATTTAAGTAAAAAAAAAAGAGAGGAATGAAAGTTTTTTATTTTATTTTATTTTTAAATATATAAAATTCCTGAATAAAACACAGAACACAGTGATTTACCAAAAGAACCTGAAGACTATTCAAGTTACTGGGTATAATACTGCTTGATGTGGCCCAAAACAAAAAAGTGAAGAGCATCAGATTAGACATCATGACCTGACTTCTCAAGTAAATCATGATCTGGTGTGACCCAAGGACCATTTCAAGAACCCTAGTTTTATATACTGGTTTAAAGCCTTCATCAACTGCCCAGTTATCAACAAATTAACAGCTAATTGAGCACTATAATTTTTTTTAAATCTGGGGGAATCTCATTTTTCATCTGATCTCAAATCAAATTATTGAAAAAATTAAAAAAAGAAATTGATTTTGCAGATTTCAAGAAATCTCTCGAAATAATAGCTCAGAGGTGGGCTAGGGGTAGCTAGTACCGAGAATATAATCCAAGCTTGAAGGTTACATCTCATAAAGATTCAAACTTTATGGATGAACTAAAACACAATTTCATGGAGAATACAGTTTGGGTTCTGGACAAGCTAAAAAATTGAAGTTCAAATCGAAACCCTAACCAAACAAATTAAAGAACCCTAAAATGGATTGAACATTTCTGCAAAGAAACTATACAAGGAATCCAAATTAATGTGGATTAAAATTAAGATCTTTGCGTAAAGATCATATTTAAGATTGAAACTGAACTTTACAAATAGGAAGTACTTCTTTTACTAATAAAGAAACTGAAAAAAAATGTTGGGATTAATTACAGTAGATCAAAGTCTCACACCATTTTTGCTGCAAAATGATCAATTTAAACCTACTAAAAAAATAAAATAAAAATCATATCAAACGAAGTAGTTTTTTATGTATTAAAAGAGTAGGAAGAGCAAAAAGGTGAAGACTTGGATCCAAGCGAGGATTGAAGAAAAATCAGAGATACGGTACTATTTAAGAGGAAGTAGAAGTAAAAAGTAGAAGAGAGAGCCTAGCTCAATATATAAAAAAAAATCAGTTTTTTTTAAATTATAAATATATCTTCTTTTCAAGGATTTCCTCTTGCAGATCTAACAACCCATTGAAGCGCAAAGTTCCACACACACAAAAACAATCACAAAAACGGCAAACATATTTACTCCACACCAAAAAAGAAATTAAAGGGAGCATATCACATCTCTTTATTTTTACAGATCTCAAGAAAATGAAAACCAAAAAGATACCCCACGCACAAAAGAAGAGAAGAGAACACAATATCAAGAAATGGGCAAGTTTGTATTTCCAAAAAGATTAAATCTTTACAAAGATTTTAGCCATTTGTATATATATGTATGTATATGTGTGGATGTGTACCTAGAGCTACTGCAGAACTCATAGAGCTTTCCTCTGTTGGAGAAAATGATGAGAGCAACCTCAGCATCACAAAGAACAGAGAGCTCATATGCTTTTTTCAGAAGCCCATTCCTTCGTTTTGCAAAGGTTACCTGTCTGTTGATCTTGTTTTCTATCCTCTTGAGTTCAACTCTACCCCTCCCCATATTCTCTTTATCTCTCTCTATCTCTACCCCTCTCTCTCTCTCTCTCTCTCTCTTTGTGTCTCTCTCTACAACTACCCTCTGAAACTCACGAAAGCAAACAATCCTTTTTTCCCTTTCCAAACGTTTCTTTGGATACCACTTCTTTTATATCTAGCTAAGATAAGATATACACATCCAATAGTAGATACCCTTCGTATGTGTATTTATACCAATTGTTTGACCTTTACATTCTAACTTTCGCAAATTTTCATCAATGGGCTTTCACTTGCCCAGTCATGCCCTTAAATTAGATGCATTGGGTACCCCTTATTTATTAGGTGCCTATGATTGCAACCAGTTTTTTTATTTCCCCGTGCCAGAAAATGTAACCCCTTCGTTCTCCTAGAGTTTTTCTCCTAGAGTTTTTTTCAGTTTTCATTTTTACATTTCTCCCAAAAATCATTTCCTATTGTCAATTAAAAAATAGAGACTAGTTGTTCATGTGGTTCCTTTCTCTATTTTTGAAGTAAAGAACAAGGGGATCTCTCGTCAAAATGATGCTATGCGGTTGGCTTTTGCTACAATGGTGTACTACATTTGGAGGGCTAGGAAAATTAAACAATCTACTTCGATCACTCCTCAGTGTGTGTTACATCTAGTAATTCTAACATCAAAGTTGTGATTTCTAGAATCTTGTATAAGCTCTTTCCGGCATGCTTGGTTGATTTTTAGTTTCGGCATGTGTGTCACTTTGGTCTTTGCTTCCGCGGTTTTGATTGTTGTAATTAAACCGCTTGATGTTCGGGGATACCAATCCTATTTGTAGGAATACACCATCACGTGGTGTTAAAGAAGGAAGGAATATATTTCCATATATTCTCGTATATTCCTGTATATATTATATTGTTTGTATATTTGATTTATTCCTTTTTGTAATTAGTTTACACATAGAGTTCCTAGCCTATGGGATCTTATATATATTTAGCATTTGTTCATATTCCTGACACCATAAATACAAGAGAATTTCTCTCAATCACAATTCTTTCATGGTATCAGAGCTTTCATGGTATCGCAGCTTTGTTAATTTTTCCTTGCTGCTGCTGCTACGGTCAACCGGCATAGCGTCCATTGATCGTCGTCGTTGATTTCCTAACCGATGCTGCCAAAACGGTTGACCGCCGATATTGCTGAACGCTGCGGATTCGTCAAATCATGTCAGAAGAAACGAGCAAAAAGACAGCCTCGGACAAGAAACCTGAGGAATGAGAAGAAAATGATGTTGTGATGCGGCGACGTCGCATCTCGCCATATGATTTGTCTCCTAGTGACAATCCGGGTATGCTTTTGACCCATGTTGATTTGAAGGGGGGTAATTACGACGAGTGGTCCAAATCTATGCGCCTTGCTCTTCGAGCGTGCATGAAATTTGGATTCGTTGATGGAACAATCGGAAGTCCAGATCTTGATTCTGACAATTTGGATGATTGGTGGACGAATCATTCACTTTTGGTCTCTTGGATTCTGAACACAATCGATCCAACCTTGAGATCCAGCATATCGTTTATTGAAAAGGCTTGTGACATGTGGATTGATCTGAAGACCCATTTCTCTATGGTGATTGGACCTAGGGTGCATTAGTTGAAGCAGGATTTAGCAGAGTGCAAACAAAAGAATTTTTCCATAATGGAATATTATGGGAAGATGAAGAAATTATGGGATGATCTAGTGGATTTGGAGCATTCTCCAGTATGTATGTGTGTGTAAGAATTGCACGTGTGACTTTCCGGCGATGATTGTGTAGATGCGTGAGACAGAACGTGCACACCAGTTCTTGATGGGGTTGAATGATATCTGGTATGGAACTTAACGGTCAAATTTGTTGGCACAAGAACCTGTACGACCCGTGGGAAGAATTTATAACATTCTGGTACAGGATGAGATGACACGAAACTCTATGCACAATGGAGAAGGAAGTGATGTAGCTGTGTCTCCATTCGCGGTGAAGAATAAAACAGAGACAAGGGAGCTTGTTTGTTCTCATTGTGGCAAGACAGGACATGAGATTGATGCTTGCTACAAGCTGCACGGATATCCCGAGGGTTAGGTCTTCCAAGATAAGAATGGGCGAGGAAGAGAAACCAAATGTGCCAGAGACCGTGGTCTAGGTCATGGAAACGGAAAGTCGACCATCCAACCTTAATGGTCGACCGTAAGTGGAGGTCAAGGTGTAACGCATGTCATTCAATGGGTGCAAAAGAAAAAGGACTTTCTCAAATGCCTAGCTTTGATGATCTAACCTAGGAACAATGGAATGTTGTTCGTCACGCTCTCTCGATGTCCCCAATAGACACAAATATGAAACTTTCAGGTATTACTGTATCACCACATTGAATTATTGATACTGGTGCGTCCAATCACATGACAAGTGATCTTTCGTTATTATATGTTGTGGTGGCTGTGTTACCATGTGAAATTGGTTTGCCTGATGGAAAAAGGGTTGTGTCTGTTCAATCTAGAAAGGTTGATTTAACAAAGGCTATGGCGTTACAAAATGTGTTACTTGTTCCAACTTTGAGTTGTCATTTGATTTCTCTATCACAGTAGACAATGAACTGTGAGGCAAAATTCACTAATGATTTGTGTGTATTACAAGACTTATTAAGTTTGAGGACAACGATTTGTTTGGGTAAACATGAAGGAGGATTGTACTATTTAATGAAGGAGGACAGGAGCATGGCGTACAGTGCAAAGAAGGAGCACAAATGTGATCGTTGGCACAAATGTCTAAGACATCCTTCTTCACATGTTTTGTTCTTAGTTCCTTTAGGTGGTTCAAATAAAAGTAGTCATTGTCATTGTGATATGTGTTTGCATGCTAAAAAAACTCGAGCTAGTTTTCCCATCAGTTTTCATCAATTAATTGAAAAATTTGATATGGTACATTGTGATTTGTGGGGACCCTATCGAACTCCGTGTTAGGATGATTCTACGATGTCTTTGACTATTATGGATGATTACTCTCGTGGTGTAAGATTTTATTTGCTTGATTCTAAGCGTACGGTAGGAAGCGTATTTAAAAAATCTTGTGCCATGGTGGAATGTCAATTTGGGAGCAAGGTAAAGTGCATTTGTAGCAATAATGTCACGAAATTTGAATGCTTGAATGAATACTTTTGGGAACGAGGAATCGTTCACGAGAAATCTTGTGTGTCTACTCCACAGCAGCATGGCAGAGTTGAACACAAGCATCGACATATACTGAATGTGGGTCGGGCTTTGCGATTTCAGGCAGTCAAACTCTATGCAACGATACAATTTTTACATTTTTCTTATATTTATATATATATATATATATATATATATATATATATATATATATATAGACACACACACACACATATATATATATATGCATATATGCACGCACACACACGAAACCAGGGGCGGACCCACATCAGAAATTTTGTAATTTTATATATACCTATAGGTATATGTACTAAGTATTACTATATATCCATCAAACGCACAATGGTAAACGTCTGACGAGCAGCTCAAGTGGAAAAGGCGCCTCTCGTATGCTTGGGATGTCTAGTGTTCTAAACTCTTTGGTCTTAGGAGCGTTCTTCTTTCTTTATATATGGAATCCCCATATTAAAGCTTATTTTTTGAGTTTTTTTGTTCTTCACTCTTCTAGTTTTTTAAAATCATAATTGAATGTGAATTGGATATTTAGATTTGATATTTGTGAATTATGAATTTTTAAATTTATTCTCTTCAATTTGTAATTTGTGAATTTGATACGGTATCGTATCGGGATAGGGAAGGATTTCGATCACCTTCGAGCTCCAAGAACAAAAGAGGCAAGAAAGAGAGAGATTAAGGTTTTGAAGAAAGTATTTTCTTTATTCATTGATTGATAAAACTATGGTGATGGATACATTTATAGGCTCCAACTCTAGAGAATCAATAATAAATGATAACTAAATAATTAATAATCCTAATTATAAAAGATAACTAAATAAACTAGGAAACTAATTAATCACCTAACAAATATAATATTTTCTAATAATAGTTAACTAACTATAAATAATTCCTTACCATAATAATAATAATAATAATAATAATAATAATAATAATAATAATAATAATAATAATAATAATAATAATAATCCCGTAACAGAATTAGATTTATATTTTGTAAGATTAGGAATATGTTAAGATGTTATAGTTCGTTATAAATTTGTAATGTACGAGATTTTTTCTTTTTTTATGGAATTCCCATATTAAAGCTTGTTTTTTGATTTTTTTTCTTCACTCTTCTAGTTTTTTTTTAAAACATAATTGAATTTGAATTGGATATTTAGATTTGATATTTGTGAATTATGAATTTCTAAATTTATTCTTTTCAATTTGTAATTTTTGAATTAGATTTATATTTTATAAAATTAAGAATATGTTAAGATGTTAGGGTTTGTTATAAATTTGCAATGTTTTTAATTATTTGAATTCCAATATATGAGACAAATGTATTATAATAAATCACTTTCGAAATATGAAAAATAGACTTTATCAATTGTAAGATGTGTTTTTATACTTGTAATGAAAGACTATTATTGATTTTTGATTTTTATTGTAAATTTCAATTTTAATGTTATATATTATGAAGTATTTTTTATTTAATGTTAGAAATGTGATTGTTTGATATGAACTTTTTAAAATACGACCACGTGGTTTAAATATTTTGGGTCCGCCCCTGCACGAAACACTACATGCTACGAAGGATCATTTAGATGACTTCAAATATGATACAATACCGTATTGGGATATGGAAGGATTTCGAGCACCTTTGAGCTAGGCAAGGAAGAGAGAAAGATTAGGGTTTAGGAGAAAGTATTTTCTTTATTCATTCAATCATAATACTATGGTGATGGATACATTTATAGGCTCCAACTCTAGAGAATCTCAATAATAAATGGTAACTAAATAAATTAAGAATCCTAATTATAAAAGGTAACTAAATAAACTAGGAAACTAAATAAGTAATCACCTAACAAATATATTATTCCCTAATAATAGTTAACTAACTATAAATAATTCCTTACCATAATAATAATAATAATAATAATAATAATAATAATAATAATAATAATCCCGTAACACTCTTCTTGTCTCGAAAACCAACTTGTCATCAAG